ATATATATATATATACGGCTTATGGGATGGATTCTCGAGAAATTCGTTTGTAAACAACTCCTTAAGTGCGCTTATATACTATCGAATTGTGCTAAATTGGAATGCGATTCACTTCAAGCAAAACCGAAAACACTTCTGAATTCGTCGAAAATTGCTACATCCAAACCAAAAATGACGAATCGATACTTGACAGTTATTACGTAAATAGCGATACGAATAAACGTCATTCAATCAACAGTTTACCCCATATTAACTCAGTGCTCTCTTCGTTTTCTGAATTACGATATGCATTCTTCAATTCGGTGTTTCATGGATTCATAAACGAATTGCAGGTGAATTATGATGACAGGCGTTCAGCAGTAGGAGTGCTAATAATACGGTAAACCTTTAAGGACCAAGTAGCTCAAGCTGTTCCTACGTTTTATTTCGAAACCAAAATCCTTTTTTGCACCTGTCGGATCCCACGAAATTATATCGTCAGCTGATTTCTTTTATTTCTCACATTTTTCCCACTCGCGCATTCGTTCATATACCTTCAAAAACCATAACGAATCAGTTCCCCTAATCAATAGACGAGAATTCAACCTCCTGACTCACCAAAATGACGCATGAATATGTTTTTATGAACGTCAGTTTAGTAAGAGCAATGACTGCTTTTGATAAAATCAACTAAACCTTTTCTGTCCATTAACGGTCGCTATTAGATATTATAATAGGTGAATGATTTTAATGAGTGTTACGATCGATGTGACAATGTTTAACGCGTAATGGATGTGCATTTTTACTGCGAATGCGCAGACATTTTTTGCATGAAAATAACCAATTGATGAACGTAACATTCAAATGAAGCAAGTTTTGTAAATGAATTGCATCGCAACAGCAAAAAGTACCAACAAAAAATAAACAAACTGAAGCATGCATGATGCATTCCGTGATAAGATAAACGTTATGATGACGTTGACGTAAGAAAAAATTTCCTTTCCATGTACCTATGTTTCGCTACTGCATCCTTCAACCAAGGACATCCATCCTCTCATCGTTATCCCTCCTTCCTTTTCACTTCCTTCGATCCCCATCTCAACACCATCCATCTATGTGCGCGTTCAATGTTCGTTCAACGTTCCATCGTTTCATATGCTATCGCTTCAAAACTCTAACTTATTTTATTCCAACTTCTCATTCATTTATTCATTTGTTTATTTGTTAATCTTTTCTGCCATTTTCAAAAACGTTTTTTCGCAATATCCACACTATGGCTCATTACCATTCGCTGACGATATTACTTCTAATTTTAGCTTTATTGCTATTAGTGGCATCGTTGTTCTTATTAATTAGAGTCAATTTCAATTTCGTCACTGCTGTCGCTGTTCCTATTACCATGCTCATCAGCGATGTAAGTCCAATTACCGAAGCCAACTAAACACTCCCAGCCACTCATCACCAAGCCTATCACTTCTAAAAAATTATTCACTAGTTCAATAATACTTTTTGCATTCGCTATTAGTGTGATCAGATTTTTGCAGGTAAGAATAACAACATTCGATTCTCTTANTTAGTTCCAATGTTAGACCATTTTTTCGTAAACTCAATGACGCACAAACTTTTACAAATAGAATAATTTGCAAACTTGAGTTTAATTTCTTAGAAATTGAAAGACAGATAAGGAAATGATTGATTTTACTCGTAAAGGAAAGAAACCAACCTAATAAATCAACTCAATATCAAATTCCGCACAATTTTATCGCCATTATTATTTGCAGCAACAATGATTTATGTCTTCGCCATATAACTGCACAAATTTTAGAAATAGCGGAAAATACCACTGTGTTCCCCGACTGGATTTATAAAAAGGGATCATATTCATCGTTTTGCTTTTAATCAAATTTCAGTATGAGCATAGAATTTTTCAGATGTAGACAAAGGCAGATTCTAAGTCTAGCGTATTATGAAATAAAATGAAGCAATAAGTTGTGAAGAGGATTAACGTTTAATTTATGACACTGTTATTGGTATCATTATTACTAGCATTACGTTGTTTTTGATGCTGCTATCGCAGAAGCAGAAGGCCTTAGAATAAGGGCAATGAGACTTAAGAGGTGCTAGAACTAGCAACTACATGATATCATCAATGATTAAACGGATGAATTAAACTGTACAGATAAATTCAAACAATGAATAATCAATCCCTTTAAACACTCACCATTTCGGTTCGATACGCCATTTCACGTTCAAAATCAGCTAAATGCGAGAAATGTCGATCATTTTCAAACATCGTTGCTATATGTCTCGTGTGCACGATTGATACGATTATGCCTAAAGCAAATTACGATATTCACGTTGCTGATTCAATCAAACATAATGATGCTTCTTGAGCTGCATACTCAAATTTCATCAACTCCATCATTATTAAGCTGAACATCAACAAATTGTAATATAGCCCACCGTCCATCTTATCAGTCAATTTTCGTTATGTAATCAAAGAAATTTTCGTATTTTTCAAACAAACGAAAATAGACTCGTGTCTAATGAGGACGAGAAAAAATTTAAATTGAAAATGACGGAGATGTACTTCTATCGATCAAGAGGATGCATGAAGATTACATCAACAGTAAAAAGCAGAAAAAAAGAGTGAAGAATTAAAAAGGAACTGATAAATTGGAATATCCAAAAAATGTGAATGTGTTCGTATTTCTCTCTTCTTGACGCACTTTCGTTATTCCTAACTGAATAAACTGATTACATTGACATTCTTGTCGTGATAAATTCAACGAAAATCAATCGCCACAAAAAATAAAACAACTTCGCAGACTGTCCGTACGTAAGGCAATCAAAAATCGTTTATTTTTCATTCTTTCATTGAATAATTTAGCTGGTTTCCAGCAACAATTCTCTGGGTGAGTGAACGATGTTTTCCTTAAAGCATCAATTCATCTTCTCCTCAGCACACACATCTTTTTCAAGAAATTTTTGCATTTATTCATTCCAGAACGAAAGAATTGTAGAACAAATGCTCAGAAATCAACCCTTTCCTTGTAAATTACACGTTTGAAATGAATAAATTACGTGAATTTGATGTTAATTATGTACGACAACGCGGCTTTCTGTATTATTCGTTAATGAAATAATTCAACGAAATCCAACAAAATCAATGATCGTTTTTAGTTTTCAAGAAATCTTGACCATTATAAGGTGATCGATTGGTTGCTCTGCGGGATGACGCATCCACACTGATTATCTTAGATAATTTGCGAAGATTAAATCGTAAAATGCTCATCATTATTATTTCAGATAATCAACACCACATCGTAAAAACACTATCTACTACTATACCAGAATTATATTCGTTGAATCGGTTGTCATCATCAAATGTAAATCAAATCATTCTTTAGTCTTCTCTCCCTCAAACATCTTTTCGCAAGGAACGCTGCTGAGGTTAGTGCTGACTTGCAGTTTATTCTCTTCCATATTCTCGCATTCATACTGACAGCGTTTAAACAACATTACAATTTTCTGAAAACTTTCAATTCAGAGCAATGACATATCTACTTATCACTGAACAAAGCTGCACAAATCGAGCATTTGTCCGTCATTTTTGGGACAAAATTGAAGGAGAGGTTGAATTTTTTCCAAAAAATTACTTCATTTAATCAGTATGTGACAAAGAATGATCTGCGAAGAATGGCAGAGGAAGGATTTTCTAAAAAGTGGAAAGAAAGAGATGAAGATTGTGGGCTGAGGTAATGGCAATAGCTGCTTAATTGATTTAGTCGTTGCATTCCTCAGCAAGATTACTCGTTTCTCTCTTAGAACAATTTCAGATCCATAGTAGAGGTTCATCAACTTGAACGTTCAGATTGCGCTATCATCCGGATACCGCGAGGTGCACCCAAAAAACGATACATTAATTAACGTCTTTTTCCGGACATATCCCTCGTTAATATTTTGCTGCTGCTTTCTCGCCTGTACTCTCCAACTTCAGCGATTCGTCCCTTTGTTTTCATTCGTCCACTGTGAACCCTTCTCTCTCTCTTCGAATGTCAACAACTCAATTATAATCAACCATGGACAACAACATCAAGAACGCTTTAAGGCGTCTGAAAAGACGCTCCTAAAAATTATTTCGTTTCTGTTTCAGAAACGAGAGCATCCTTGCAGATGCATATCAAATATTTCAAACAAGAAATTCGTTTCTATTTCCTCTGCTCATTACTCAAACCAAAATGGATATCGATAAGATGTTTCAGCAACGCAATAAAACGTGCATGGGAAACGACTCAAGCATCACTACAACAATATTGTACATAATTTTAATGATTATAAACATCGGCAAGGGCTTTTCAGTCGGTTAGGAATATCTTATCAAATTATACTAAAGTTATGACGGAGAAAATAATCGAAATATTATGGAGCGTGAATATTTTCGATTTTAAACAAATTATTTTCCACTTCTTTACAAGTGAAAAATTAAATGTGATCCATTCAGATGCTAATAACGGCTCAATATTGTTCCAAACAAAGGATATGGGTAACGTATCTCTAGAGGTCGATCATTATACGATTCTCCTGATTGATTTACTCAATAACTTAACCGATGATGAAATGGAACTACTGAATGCATACGTTCAACAAGACGCTTATGCTGATTTGAAGGAAATGATCGATCAAAGAACGAATTACGTTTGTCTTGACAATTTTTTTNGAAAAGGCTGAGGAATATTGCTTGAAATATCATCAACCTTTCAAAACCATCTCTAATCCTTTTGGAATTCATAGAATAATGTTTGTTCTACACAATCATTGATTATAAATTTATTCCATCGTTTTGCGCATTCTGATGTTCCTTTTATAAAATTGCTTTGCTGAACACGGCGATATCATTTCAATTTGTCGTTGGACAACAAGAATTAACCGGCAGCAATATTCGTTGACTATTTTTGGCTGTCTCCTATGAAATAATTTCAAAACAAATTCAGTTCAGTGCCTTACAAAATTAAGATGATAGAGCTGAGATAGAAATTGCAGATTTTCGAAGTGGAAAATGACGAATTCAGAATAAATGCGAACAAATACAAATTAGATGAGAGCGAACTACTTCTTGGCGCTCCGAACTTAACCAAGTCACAATTACACATCATAGAGGCTTATCAGGTCTTTTACCGAAGTTATGATGACCATTCTATTCTTAATGAAATATTTCCTTTGTTATTCCTATAACTCGAATAACGGCCAAAATCGAGGAATATGGAATAAAAATTTACGAGTGTTGAGCACTGTCCTCAAGAAGCCATGAAAATTTAGAATGCAACGATATATTACATGATCTGGGCGTTATGGAATTGGAAAGTGGAGGAAATACTACCGGAAATCGATCAGAATGCAATACTGGAGTATTACGAAGAGAAACGAATGGAAGATCTCGATAGACAAAGTTTTTTTGTTCGTTTATGGAAAATTATCAAACAGTGGTTCAGGTATAACTATCGAATTAATCGAACGGATCGTTTTACCGCTTACACCAGCAACGGATGCATAAGTTTTTCTTAAGGACATCAAAATCCTAAAACCGGGCGACATATAATTTCTGTCCATCAGGTACATCAGCAAAAATACAAAGGCGTTAGTGAAAACAGTTGCAAGCAGGAGTTTCCGGGTTTCGCCCTTCTCTCTCTC